ATGAGAGCATCACCCTTAATCTTTTTGTATTCGTCACATCAAAATTACGAATTCAGCAATTCGGTTCCAGTGTAAACCACAAGCTCATCTGTTTTTGATAAGACAGATCATTAAAAGTGGTGAAAAATGGATGTTAGTAATGCCCCTCAACTTGTTTTTCAGGATGCTTGTATTGTGAGAGGTCTAACTTGACCTCATTTCTAGCATGGGTTAGCACTGTATTTGCAATAAAGCATCCAGGTCAAAAAAATAAACTTGCCAAAAAAGACGAGAATTTCAATGGGTGTGCATGCATTTTTTATTCACTGAGGGATTGTCTTCTCTTTTCTTATGTCCTTAGGTTTGCAATCGTGTGCGAAGGTGGATTTCTGCAAGCTCGGGTATAATAGTAGATTGCTTCTCTTGAAATAGGTGAATGAGGAAATCTAGACCGCTAGCACACTCCATCTAATCCTTGCTTATTTCAATCTATGCACAAATTTGCTGCAAACTGTAGGCATTAAATCAAGACCATCTCAGTGGAACCGAAGCACTGAAGCTATCAAATCACGTCAATTTACTTCATTAGCCACCCTACATTACTCGAGTGTGCATTGGTAAAGCATGTGGTTCCAGTGTACATGGCAGTGGCAGTGCGGCCATCTTTTGTCAGAACACATCTGTTTCGTATTTGCTTAACATGAGGTCATTTCTTCTGGACTGGTCTTAAAGCACTATAACAAAATGCATTTAACAGTGCCATTTGAGTGATAATTTGAAATAATACACCATCGCAAACAACAAATACACAGAAGTCGCACGCTGTTCAAATTGAGTTAAATATCACTTGCTAAAGACATCAGCACTTTTCAAGTCTACCTTGCGTCAGCTCTGCAGGACAGTAGTTTTATTACTTCATCACTATCGTAATTATTTGTGGCTTGTGGATCCTTAGTTTGGAAGCAAAACTCGTCTTTTCCTGCAGGTTATGTGCTCAAGTATTGAGAATATCTTAAAAGACTACTTTGTCCCACCTCTTACTTGAACAATTCCACTTAATTGCATGGCATTTCACCGTAACCACAGAAAATAACCATACTTATGCTTGCATTCTCTATGTCTTCACATCTTAATACTGATATACTTCTCAAAGATTAGTAAACATTTAATGCCGAATTTGAAAAGAAATCTAGGACGTACCTGGAGGCATCTGCTGTACCTCTGTCTGATGCACATAACCCACCACTTTTAGGGACAAACTGACCACTCTAATAAGCGCATGGTAGCACTTAGTGTTACATTCTTGCCGATCTAGTGGAATATGGAGCAATTTACTGCCAGTGTTTTTTAATAGAGTGG